TTTCCTAGGCCCAAATCGTCAATTTCGCTACAGATTTGTGGACATCGATCGTGGTGAGGCATGAGAAGATAAGGCTAAATCAACGTTGAATCTAACTAGAATGCAATCAAGCGTAGCCTAAACGGGTCCATGATGTCGTGACATTACGAACTCGTAGGACTTATAGAGCCATGACATTCGAAGCTGCTGCTGCTTAAGTTGCCATAAAAAGGCTGCAAAACAACAAATTGACGTAGGTGTATGCCCAACCTGGCCAATTGCAAATTTTCTTTCAATAACTCTGGAAAAAGCTGTCAACAACCCAATAAAGCCTAATCTAACGTCTAAAAGAGGGACTCAACATGACGTGTACAACTTCCTACAAGAAAAGCAATTTTTGCAAAGCAGCGATAATTTGCTTATGTGCTACGTCATTTTTCCAAGCAGCATACGTTTTTGTGATAAGTAACTCATTCGCAGAAGCCTGACAGGCCTTTTTTTCTCTAACTAAACTTCACTTGTTGAACTAGGGAAAATACAGTAAATGTAATCGATACTTACAGTTGAATCAAATTTTTGAAAAGCTCACCTCATTTTTTCTATAAAAACCCTAGCCTTCCTTCAAGCACTTCCTCATCTCGCCATAAGACGAAGCGTTTGAGGAAAGGTTAGGGTTTTTTCTAGAGAGAAACTTCTTTGGCGGTCAGAGAGTAACTTCATGAAGGGAGTGCAGAAGAATCGACAAATAGGGGCGTGTAATGAACGGAGCTGGATAATGCTTGTTTTTGGCTGAGACCACGTGGATCATCCTAGAATCGGAAACCTCTACCTTAATTTCTAGGTAACAATAATTGAAATAAAATAGTTTAATTGTCTTTATCGTTTATGCACTTTATTCCTTGAAATTTTTCAACCCTATCTCGAGGGAGTGAGCAGAGTCTAATTTTTGCGATGCACTGATTGTTGGTGTTATCCTACATATGTCAAGCGCAGTCCTTTCAAATCCAACATAATCAAAATAGCAGGTCTCTTACATCGTAAACAACAATAATCTTCCAAAGTTTCGCT